AAAATCCAGTACCTAATCGTCTCTTTCCAGAACCTGGGCACTGATCCTGTCCATCCACTCATCAACCTTCTCCATCAATTCATTCACTACATCCGCAGAGATGAACAAATGCGTGCTGTCCAAATCTAACAGAATAAACTTTCTCCCCAGCTTCTCTTTCTCGTCCAGCCAAATGAGGAATTGTCGCATCGGGGGGTCACAAGTCACCAGCACGCCTTTGCTCACTTGCACCATTGGTAGTTCCGCAAAAATCTTTTGCAAGTCCAACGACGATGTCGACGATTTTTCTCACAGATGCTGGCGAGAAGTCCGTCAATCCAACAGCAACATCAATTGGTTTCTTCGGCTGGAGCTTCTCTGCTAGCACACGGGCAAACAAGTGATGTTCCACGGAGTCTGATCCAAAATTGACCCTGAATAAAATGACAAATAGAGATTAAAATTTATAACTACTCAGAAAGCAATAAAATGAAGCCTGTTTGACCATATTTAAATTCATCTTAATCATTTCAATTGTTCCGAGGCATGAGGGATGGTTCGAGAGTTTCGTCAACGCTCCAAGAACTTCTTTCAGAATATAACTGCGACGTTACTCAAGTGAAACCTCTCCATTTAGTCGTACATTTTCTTAAATTGCAAACCTGACTCGAGGAAACTTCTTGCTGAAAAAAAGACACATACGCAAATTCGATGTTCTACAGGAAAATGGAAAAGATTACAACTTATTTTCATTGAAATATGGTAGCCTGATCCAGGATTATTGTTCGCATCAAGAATTTAATGCGAACACGCGGTGTAGATATTTTCAACTCATCGTTTTATCTCAATTCAAACATTAGAGGACACATATTAGAACAATGGTGAGTATATTATTAAATATTTTCCTTGAAGAATCATCTTTAATAGAAAAAAATTTGGAAAAGGGAAGCGTAATACAACACTGACAAAACCCATGAATCAATTTTCTTTGTATTGTACAGTATTCCACAGAATGGGTGTACAGCAGTGCTCCCCAACATGTGGCCCATAGGCCGGATCTAGCCCGCAGAGAATCTTCCGCTGTCCTGGAGTCCCTTTCCCACAATTTCTAAGGTTATAGCCACCACTATTCAAAAAATACATTCAAAGATGAATTTAAAGATTAAAAATGTTGCTCCACCCTTCAAAACTTCAATAAGGCTATGTTTGTGATTCAAAACACAGCACTGAACTAAACTTGAAATTTTCAACCTCACAAATTATTGCCTAACGGAAGAGCTCGAAAGGAGTCTCCACCCATGAAATGTGGCCTTTGTCCACAAGAAATGTATTAATTAGGCCCACGACCAATTCTGAGTTGGGCAGCACTTGTTTAATGTGAAATGTTCATATGTTTTCAAAAAGCTGATTTCAATGGTCATTCAAATCTTCAATTGGCTCCAATTTGTGAATATATCTGATGACAAGAACTAACCGGGTATCGTAGACAACGTTTCCACCTGCAAGACTGTCACCTCCTTCAAGGATCCCTGGAGTGACACGTGCAATTGCAGCAATTTTATCTATCT